CTCGGTCCAATGAAACATTACCGCGTAATTCCAATTTTTTTGAATTTTTTTAGCAATCTAATAACATATGGGAATTTCAAAAATAAACTATGTAAAAATAATTAGAATGTTCTATTTAAAAAACTAAGTTGTGTGATATGCCTTAAAAACAAAACACTCTGTATAGTGGAAAATAATTTTAATGTATTCTACTGAAAGAACCATACGATTTTAGTCGCTAACTTTTTTCCTATCGGTAATTGAGGTAGCGAGAACCGCAAGTTTAGTGACTGACCCTGTATATTATTCACGAACATGTTAAAACTGAAGAAGACAATGTTTTCGATATCGAGTGACAGTAATGCGATTTGTATTTACATCTGCACCTTAACTATATTTAAATTATTCTCAGATAAAGTGCATTTTGTTGTCAAAAAGACCATGAACCACGGAAGCGTGAAATACTCCAAGGAAAATTTTATTTAAAATGTGAAAAATCTCGAATTTCCATACTTAAATTTAAGTTCTATAACTTTTCCGAATAAGCTCTTAACATTATTTTTGCTATACATTTCGCAGGAAGTACATAAAAACGAAATAAAGTAATTTTTTCGCAAGATTTGTTCTATAAACAATCCCTTGTTTACAACAAAACTTTGAACATTTGTAATAAGAAAGTTCACAGTGTAAGATTAATAAAAAGATCAGTGTTCTATAAAATCAGTTTTCTTGTTTTAACAACTAAAGTCATTTTCAAGTAAAACGCTGGAAATGGGAAGTTCGTGTCTGCTGTGCGTTCCACTTTGCGTTGGCAGCGGAGAAAAGCCATAAGCAACGCACTTTATATGAGAGAACTCGTGGCGTTGTGTTTATTCATCAAAAACGTACTGATTTTCTGAAAAAGAAAGGTCTAGAAAGTGCTTGTAATTCCACAGTTGTGTTAAAATTCCATTTTTATTAAAATTTTGTTTAATTTTTTTAGAGAAATATAACTAAACATTGCTGAGTGTTTTGAAATTTCTTTTGATAAGTAACATATTTAATTGAATTTACAACTGCTAAAATTGTTGGCCTCTCAAATATTCGAGTAAGAACTTCCGACGAAACACTATCACACTCTTGTACGATTCTCACTTTTAGATCTTCAACTGTATCCACTGATTGTTTAAAAATAGTGTTTTTTAAAGCCAGGAAAAAGACATAATCTAAAGTAAATATGGTTTGTCTGGGAGCTAATTCAACGATCGCCACAAAATTCCCTTAGAAAATTCAAACTTGTTTGGGTTGTTGCGTCGTCATGCTGAAAATATCCTTCAGGATCAAGCTGGTCAATAAATTCCTGCAGCATGTTCTGATATTTCGCAGCCGTAACTCGAAGAAAATGAGCTCAAATATTCGGACATTTTCAACAGTCTCGGGAGTTCGTTTTGTTAATGCGCGACTTCCTGATTTCCTCTTAATGCTACCAATCTCACGAAATAATTTTAACACATAACTGAGTTTTCTTAAAAAGTTAGCTTCAAGAATAGCAACACCACGGAATTTTTCACGAAATTCCTGAAAACAGAGTTGGGCTTCATACACCCACTTGTTGGTGGTTACAGAAGTAAGACTTAGGCATATCTTTGGAGAACATTTTTCTCGAGATGAAAATTTCACTTCTATGCCAAAACACCTGGACAGTTTTGATTCACTGTCAAAAAAAGATGTACAATTTAGGCCGCGAGATTATAGGCAACAACCGCAACGATGGTGTATGTTCTAGTTTAAGACACGACCTACGTAATTTGATGACATAATGGGCAACGAAAACTAGATCACAAATGAAAACATTTATTTTCGGTTTCTAAATTAATTGTTGTTAATAAACAATTTAATATACGAACGCTATTATAATAAAATTCAGATTGGTAAAATGGACAATATTTAGATAAAGTATTAGTTAAAATCTACGTCAAATATTTCAAACAGATTCCAAAATATGTGGTGTGATAAGAAAAAATTGTATTTTCAAAATTATCAAATTCAATCAATTTTTCGAGAATTTCGAGCTTTTTATGGGGTTTGTGTACTGTCAACTCAAAGTGGAACGCGGTATAGAAATGTACAGGGATGGCTAGAACCGGTCGTATACATTCAGTTCGTTATTTTCATCAGTTTATTACTATCTAAAAATAGCATAAATTACTCATTTAGTTGTATTCAATCAATCACAAGAAATTTTAAAAGTTTGTGTTGTATTCTCACAGATAAGGAAGTTAGGTTATGATTGATATTTGTGACAGGCGTCGTGTAATCATTAATCATCACAACGAGGCGGCAAAAGTCAGGAAATTTCAAAGCCACCTTGTACGATATTTTGTAATCATCTTGTACAAAGATGAGATTAGTTATACACTAAGTCCACGTGAAAACATTTTTTGCCACATTTATACTGTATGCAAAAACTAATAATAGTGTAAATTCCGCCACTTTCAGTCGACGCGTTTTCAAAACAGCAAACTTGGCCAGAAGAAAAATATGAAAAAAAAAAGTCGTGTAGTCAGCCACGGAATTTATTTAAACAAATTCTGTTGCATTGGAAAGTAAGATCATTCAGCGGTTTCCTGCTTGACTCCATTTCGGTAATAGCTATGGATAATAAAAATTTTATGTTCTGTTTCGAGGATTTTCATTACACTGACAATACAAATGTCAAACTGGTGAGTAACGAAAAACAACGGCACTGCCACCACAGTTAAAAAAATTAATTCCACGGCTGCCTAGACGAGATTTTTTTTAACGACGCGTCAGTGAACTCGACAACGTGCTTTCGTCTTCATTTCCAATCTAAGATCTAGTTATTTGACAATTTTAAGACAGGTTTTTGTAAATTTTCTAGCGTCTTATGATATTTATGTGTAAATATTGATATTATAATAATAAGTGAAATACGCAGGACATTTTACAGTTTAATTTTATATAAACTCAATATTCTTTGAGCGAATTACGTCGCTGTGACTAGACATAAATAGTTAATTTTCTAAACAACGAATCTAAATTAAATGTTAAAAAAGCATAAGACGTAAACAACAGCTAACAGAGAATATTTGTTTTGAATTTTAAACAGAAAAGGATTCCAATGAAGGTAATTATATTCTCGTACAAAGAAATTAAAGTGATCTTATCATGTAGCACATCAGAATATCTAATTGATATGAAGATGAATAATACAGTTGTTGCTACTGAATAATTATTTTACACTACTATGCGTTTAAAATATACCCACACTAATATTACGTCAGTAGGTAAATAAAAAATATATTTACCGAATCGATGTTGACCATCCCTTGCATGCTAAAAAGACGCACAGCTGTTACGCGTGCTATTAAATATATACATTTATAACTCGAAACCTGACAAACATTTTAGATTGCTCAAAATGTTAATAATTCAGTAAGCATAAGAATTATTTCACTCGATCAATAAGCAAATCTATACCTTGTGATCAAAGTGGTAAACTTTTCAACGACTCTTGACATCAAGTGAAACACCAACAATTTCTGCGTTACGAAGTTACAAAAAATTTTAGGGTGTTTAAAATATCATTTTACAAAAGCCACCTAATTCCAAAAAAGCCGACAATATACTCCACGTTTTTTAACAATCGACGAATAATAACTTTGTGTATCACGTTACAAAGTTATTTAAGGAATTTTAATTGCATTTAGCCAACACAATTTTTGCAAAACTTTGATCTTCTTACGATATACATAATCACAGGAAATTTTGTTTTTGATTTTTGTGTTTGTTCAATTGATTTTCTCCAAACTTTCTCCAGACAAGCAACTCGTATTTATATTGATTGTTAAAACCAAGTTGAGAAAATTCACGAGGGTGATTTGTTTAATTTATTATAACAGAAAATATTCTATCACACTGATTAAACCAACAACACGTTGGTCGCAGAAAAAAATTAATATGTAATAAAATGCGAACGTGTTCGTCGCTATATTCTTGACAAATGCGAATCATGTACTTAGAATTTACAGAATTCATCAATTTACTTACAAGAAAAGAGATTCCAGCGGATTATTGTGTGCAATATTTTTTGCTCCTTGTTGGTTACAAAATATATTGTGTTTGAATTAACCTCCATTGGTTTTCACAGCAATACTCATCAACTTTAGTATTTTTAATGTATACATTTTTGTAATTTATAAAATAACACTACATGTATATTTAAAATTTATTGTGATTTTTTTGTAATCGACATATACACATTGGGTAGGAACTTGAATTGAGACTGTATTTTTTTGTCTTTAGACAGCAAAAAAACTTAAATAAAAATTCGGCTTCTTTAAAGCGTTGCCGTTGAATGACCCAATTTGATATATAGATTTGTTTTGACACATGAATACAATTTGTTACAATTGTGTGTTGTGAGCGCCACACGAAAGTCGATTTTTTGGCATTGTCTTCAGTTGTACACACGTATTTATACTTTTTTTTTATTTTCTTTTTGCAACGATAGTGTTCGATTTTAAAAAAGAAATGTGTTTAGTTGAATATTTTCACTAACAGGGATTTAAATTTTATCGTTTGTTTTTATTTTCCAAAGAAAGAAACACTTTTGTTAGACAGCCCTTTTAGTGAATATTTAATAAATGAAGAGAACACAGCTGTTACATTCATACACACACGCGTAGAAGCAAAACATGCAGAACATCACATAGACATCTAAATAATTCGCTCCACTAACCAGAAAATTGGAGTGCCAGCAGCACTTTAGCGACAGAGTATTTGCATACACTGCCAAAAGTGGAACATTTCAAAGGGTTAAATTTAATCGCGAAAGGTATCACCCACCTAAAAATAGCAACCCCTAATCGAAAAAAACCGGAATACTTGTTGCGAACCCCAATTATTCTTTATGCCAATTAATCGTAACGCCGCAACCGTGCTGCGGTCTATTATTAGAAGATACTAAATCATTTAGGCCTGCCTGCACCAATTCACCCCCAGCCCATGGAAAAACTCACCTACGACCGATTGGGGTTAAATAAAGATCAGCGGATCGGGAGGAGAGCGACGTTCGATCGTACTGGAGTAGCGCACGTCACGACGCCACCGAGTTTTCTTCGGGTGGTAATTTTTTGTCGAAATTAAATCGGAAGGGTAGATTTTTGCGAAAAGCGGACAGGTATACTGAAAACTAACGGGGACGTGCGACAGCGTTGCCGGTGCGTCGGCTCTGGCACGGACGTCGCGACGCCGCCGTACGCTCTGCGTCGACGAGGCGGCGTCGATGTGGCAAGGGGGCTATGGCGGGCCGGGACGCGACGGTGGCGCCCCCGAATCGATACCGGCGACGAGCCTGGTCAGTTGGACGGGCGGCCCATAGGTGGCCGCTGGAATGGAAGGGTGGATTTCGGGGAAAAAAACATGATGCGTCCATCTAGTGGTCGGCGATATTATTAAGAAAAATAAAAAGTTGGTGAAAAATGATGGCTGTTTTATTGCTGGTTGCGAGGTCGAGAAGTTCAACTGAAAAATGGACACTTACTCGATTGGGGAACTGGAAACTTTGTTAGGAGATTAAAAGTTGTGGCAGGGATAAGACTAAAACAATGTAGGGCATCTGGTACAGTCTAGAGAGGAATTTTGCAAAAAGTTGGGAGGACAATAACAACCATGAAACTGTGGGTATTTTTTTTTAACTTCTTGATATTGTTACGTTGATAGCATAGTAATTAAAATCGACGTTGATAAAACTCAACGATTTATTTCTCAGTAACTCAAATTTACACGACGATTATGGACAAAATAATTCCGGCGCAACTTTACTGGATTTTCTCGTTCACTGAATGAATCATTCCCGAAGGTGGCCTCTATTTAAACCCATAGTTCCCTTCTAGATATTTCGTGATCGAGGTCTTTCCATCGCGACTTCCGCCGTACATACTAGAAAGCCCTCGAGAAAACCCATAGGCGTCGTACCGGGGCGCCGAATGGGTTTATTTCGTAACAATATGAAAGTAATTACGTTAGGATAAAGGTTTCAACAAATATTCACGTTTTGATATCCCATGTGTATATTAAAATGTTGTTGGCAATTTCTTTGTCAAATCATCTCAATATACAAGGTCCTGTCTTCAAGGACTGCTCAGAAACGATTCACCAATTAAATTTTAATAGTGTTTAAAACAAATAATGAAATATTACAAATTTTTCAAATTGAACACCCTCAATTTTACTACTGTATTTTACTCCGTTTTTTATTCTTTTTGATATTACGTTGGCGTGTCTCTTAAAACAGTGAAAAATTGCGGTTACAAAGCCTAAGAAGGTGTTTCATTAAAAAAACATATTGTACTATCAGTATTGTTTTTGAAGTATTAGAAAATAGTTTTAAATAATCCTATTTAATACATAAATATCTTCAAATTTTTACAATTACATATGACGAAAAATTTATACTTAAGAGAAATATTCTAGCAGAATACTACTACTTTACTTTAGGATTATTCTGTACATCGCAAACCGATAACCAAAACTTGTCAATTTCCCCCCAAAAATTGATGACATCATCTCAAGATACAGGATAGTTACTAAGCGCGTGGTTCTCTATATCTCATCTCTGTCTGTCGTCTATCTCAGTTTTAATCATCTAATTAAATCGTGCATGTTCACGATCTCCAGAACTACTGGACTGATTGTTGTCAAATTTTGTATGTATATTAGAAATATCGTGTAGATGATAAACTGTGACCAAAATTTGTCTAATTCATCACCTAAATTTTGCATGGTAAATCTTATTTAAATATTATAGAATAACATATTCCTACACCTGTGATTTATGAATCCGCCTCGAGTTTTATTTTATGATAAATTTTATATTAATATACGAGGAAGGTCCAGAAGCGCTCAGATGGCTAAGTCAGTGCTAATAATACGAAAGTGGCCATCTGTTCTGTCTGATAATACGAGACCAATTTTTTTAACTTAACATACATTAGTTATCGCATGTAAAATTGAGTCTTTGCCCGATTTAACTGATTTTCCTTTGTGGTTACAAAAATGCGCTGTAATTGTAGAATGAGGTCGTTTTGTACCGAGATTTTTATCACTGATTTTTAGTCGGTAAATAAAATCCTTTTTTGTTCTGATACAACAATATCTACTACAAACTTTACAGATAATGGATCATGTTAAACATTGAAGTATTTTAATGTCGCTGTCGTACAATATTTGTTAAGAAGCGTTACAGTTACGTAATCAATATCTTATCTATCTTTAAATTAAAGATGCGTCAATACCGCACTTACGCACTAAAGTATACATACCAAAACAGAATAAAGTAATGATAAAAATCTTTGTAAAATATGAAGATGTAATTTACTTTTCATGACAATTTTGTTGGGTTTATGGAATTATATTCATAGATAGTTGTTGCCGTGCTTGAAGTTCTTGTACAATGAAAAGGTAATTTCTTTTATAATTTACACGATTTTACATGTGAAATAAAAAAAATTGTTCGACAGAACTTCCCTCGCTACTGAAGTACAGTCCAACAAATCCCGCTTCTTTGAAAAATTATAAAATTATATGCAATATTTTATTTTTTTGTAATGACCTCTATGAATTAAAAAAATATCGACAAAAATTTTTTAGTCTGCACCCTACATGATGCTGGCAGGACCTGCGTGAGATATCGGTGATATGAAAAATGCGGCAAATATTGCACAAACATTTTTGTAAAGTAATTGTGAATAAAAATAGGCGGATTAATAAACCACAAGTGTAGGAGTACATTATTTTATAAAATTTAAACAATGCTTAAACTAGAAAATTTTAAAGGAGGTCGTCAAATTATTGGTGAGAATGATTAGATAAATTTTGGTTAGCGCTGTACCATCTACACGATGTTCTAAAATACATATACAAGTTTACAGCAATCAGTCCACAGTTAGACGAACACGGGGACCTATTTTTTTGTACTATATGTAAACGTCATGAATGGTCGAGAAAACTTGAATGTAGGCGTATTACAATGTTTCCTTAGCTTAAGCTCAATAAGCAAAAGAAATAAGAAGCATTTTAAAATTAACAAAAATAAGTACAATAAAAATAATTTTCCTTACAGTAACCGATCATTGCGTCATTACACAGTAAATTTCTTATCGTTCTAATTTGCAATAAATCATTGTTTACTACTCTCCTTTTATTGTTCATAAATATGCGTGTGGAGATTGTCCGAATCGTTTTTTACGCTATTCTACACTTTTATTGTAAAATCGAGTATAGTCTCTCAAATACTACAAGGTTATATGGCTGTTGTAAAATAAGGGTATTGTGAAGACGACAATGGAGCAGTTAATAAGACAAATCCACAGCTGGAAATCTTTGCCACTGTTTAAGCTGATACTGAGGTGGCAAGACAAATCCTAGATTTATGACGCTAGGCGTGAACCGGTAACTAGCCACACAAAAGGAATTATAATATCCCACTATTAAGTTTAGTGGGGCCATAAAACCTTGTAGTATTTGAGAGACTATACATTAAAACTTTTTTTTGCAAGTTGCATCAATATCCAGCAGTAAGTAGGCCGCTGATGTTCCCGTTAAGCTCATTTTACGTATAACCCAAATTAATATAGTTTCAGCCGTGGTAAACACTTAACATAAACAAATTGTACGCTTATTTAGAATTGTCATAAACATACATGTTTTGAAATATTTAATTAAAGAAAAATAATAATGTAACAAGTTTTATAGCCTCTTTAGACACGATTTTATTTAATCACGAGCGCACCGGGGCGAGTGTTACAGACTATGTTTATTCTACGACTTCAAATTAAAATATTTACGTTCTCTAAGCAAGGTTTTAAATACGAAAGTAGAAAAGGGTAATTTACTTAATATGAAGATGGTAAAAACTACAGTATTGCATGTTAAATAAGTATATGTACTATTCGTAAACATAAAAATATATATTCATATTTTATGCAGGGTGTTTCAAATAACAGTTACTCCTCTCTCTAAGTTTATTATTTATAAAAATAAATAATCGAAATTTAAAACACCTGCATATCTAATAAAAAAACGGTAACGTTAAATATGTCAAAAAAATATTAGGACTTATTCAACAGGATCTAAAAATGCTCTATGTAAAAAAATCGTACAGATCTGAAGCGTGGAGATTATCACATGTGAGCTTAATTCCATTGAAAAAATTCAAAATTGCTGCGAAAATCGATAGGATTTACTAGACAACTAAATCGCTGAGCTTTAACAAATTAGTGGATTTAAATTCAAACATTTTAGCTCAGGTTTACATGGTTTTGCATTCGTCCGACCTACGGCTGCTTTTGCTTAGACAAAACATCGTTTTTTTTGGATGGATAATGAACTCCAATTTAACAAATAGCATATTCAGAGTTTTACAAAACAACGCTTAAAAGTTAGTTCATGAAATTACCGTACCTTCGGAGTAGACATAATGCAGGAAAACTCATCAGTGAAAACTCGCAACCGTTTAGTAGTAGGTAAATTATGTGCATGAGGTCATAATACTAACCAACCAACTGACGCATTGAGTCATAGAAGGTGAAACAATCACCATTCCTTTAAGAATAGTATTAGAATGACAAAATAAATACTAGTACTGAATAGGAAATTTTATTAGATTGATACGAACCATCACTTGAAAATAATATAATTAATTAATGACGGGGATACGGGTCATTGCAAACATCATTGTAGTGTTTTAGAAATAAAATGAAAACCGTTTTAACGTATGATACGAAGCGCTATACAATGTATTTAGCTATCAAATTACCGTTAAAACACCAGAAATATAATTTTCAACATTTCGATTGCCAACAATTTTTACTGGATTGTCACTCCATTTTTAAAATGTAATATCTATTGCGCTGTGAAAGATATTGATTTGGAATTTATGTTATACAATGATGTTACTTTGTTAAAAACTGATTGTTACCCTAAAACTTATGAAACTCAAAATTATTATTAAAAATAATGAACGACGTGCTGAAACATATTGTGGACATAATACACTCTAAATTTCAAATTAATATGCATTTTAAAGATAAAGGTACAACATTTGTAAAAATACATTGATAATGC